CGGCGGGCGCGACACGGAGACCACCCCTGATTGCTCGCGCCGAATCCACCGTGTCTGTTGCGAAACCAACCTAGATCGCGTTGCAGAATCACCCGTTGTTTCGTTGTCACACGAGTATTTTCAGGACGGTACTGTTAACTTCTTAGTAGATACTAGTTCACAGCCTAATTTAATAAAACGGAAGGAATTAAAACCCGATCTGCGAATTAACACGGATATAATATATCACCTCACCGGTGTTGGCTCTGGAACGGTTCCTACTCGGGGTGATGTCATTCCCATCTACGACGTTCCCATTCACTTTCAGGTAGTCGATAATGATTTTCCTATTAGAGAAGCCGGTATTTTAGGAGTTTCATTCTTGCAGAAACAACGAGCTACGCTCAAATTCGCAGAGAATTTCCCGTGTATTGTAGAAATTAATACGAACAACTCACTTACCTCCTCCTTTTCGTCATATAATATGCCCCGTCGAACTAAAGTTTTAATCTCGGTCCCGACGAAAAGTAACAACCTCTCTGGCTACGTCAGACGGATTGATGCAGGTCCCGGCATTTTCATAGGGGAAGTCCTAGCCACCCAACAAAACGGTCTAGTTAAACTATTTGCTATAAATTCTACGTTTGATCACGTCAGCCTTAGTATACCCCAAATTGAACTTGTGGAATTTGACTCACGACCCCCCGCATTCCGTTCTTCGCGGACAAGAAACCCGGCTTTAGACGAATCAGTTGATCGTGCCCAGAGACTGAGCGAATTGCTCAAATTAGTAGACTTGAGTCACCTCCAAGAACAGGAAAAGACAAGCATCTTAGAAATCATAAACCAATTCCCATATCAGTTTCATCTCCCTACGGATAGGTTAAAAGCGGCTGATGTCCCACAACACACAATTAACACAACAGATAACGTACCAATAAACACATAGCATTATAGATTTCTCCCGGTCCATAAGGAAGAGATAAAAAAACAAGTCGATACTCTTCTCCGTGACAACATTATTCAACCATCCACATCCCCTTACAATTCACCCCTTTGGATAGTGCCCAAAAAACCTGATTCTTCCGGAAGGCTGAGGTGGAGAATGATTATCGACTATCGGAAATTAAATGAAATAACTGTATCAGATGCGTACCCTCTCCCGAATATTACCGAAACATTAGACCAATTAGGAGGTGCCAAATACTTCAGCACCTAGGATCTCGCCTCAGGTTTTCACCAGATCCCCATGGACCCAATATCTAAATCTAAGACTGCATTCTCCACTCTCCATAGCCATTACGAATTTAATTGAATGCCATTGAATCGAATAACACTGAGCGCTACAGCGCCACTGGAAGAGAAACGGGGAAGGGAGGAGGTAATACGAAAGGATGCGAAAATCGTTCATTTTGATAGCGTGGGTGAAGGAGAAAGGTTCAAGAGGAAGAAGCGTGAAGAAAACATTGTGATTATTGAGCAAGGCGGTACAGAAAGTAAGAAGGAAGGTAGGAAAGAAAGAATTAATAAACCAGTTATCACGGAGTCGGTAGTACTCAAGGTATAATATAACGACAGGTATAAATTTCAGAAAATATAAGAAGAGGTAGAGAAGAAGAGCACGTGGCGTGGAAAAGGGATAAAGAAAGAAGAAGGTGATAGAGAAGGAGAGAGAGTGAAGGAGTGCGATTCAAATAGATACGAAGAGGATTATACGGGAAGAGAGTTTGTGGTAGGAATATTTTTAAAGAATAATCATGTTAGGAAAAATAAGAAAACTAACATGATGAAGCTGTATAGATATGTACAAGGTACGAGGGTTAAAGTGGGAAGTATAAAGATGATTGGTTTTAACAGAGCAGAGGTGATGTGTAAGAGAAGAGAGGAGGCAAATAAAGTGATCGAAGAGCGCCAGAGACGGGATGGGCCGATTGGTGCATTCATTCCGGCGAGGATGAAGTATAGGAAGGGAGTGATACGAGACTGGTTTGGGACAATGGAGGAGCTGAGGGAGGAGGCGATGCTGGGACAAGGACAGTTTGTGCTGGAGAGATTGAGGAAGGGTCCGAGGAACGAAGGAAGAGGAGGTAGAGGGGAAAAAGAGGAGGAACCGTTGTTGATTGTATTCAAAGGTGACAAGTTACTAACTACGTTACTTATGGGATAGGGTCGTATGGGTGTAAAAATTTGGCCTTACATAGAAAAGGTCAAGCAGTGTTACATTTGTTGGCGATTTGGACATATGCAAAAATTTTGCAAATTAAGAAAGGCGTTATGTGGAAAGTGTGGGGATGAGAGACATGGGGTATGTGAAAAGGAGAAGTGTGTGAACTGTGGAGGAAGACATGCGTCCTTTGCGAGATGTGAGGAAAAGATGGCGGCGATTGAGTGAGCAGCGTTCTGTTTGACCTACCTGATTTTTTTCTGTTTTGTTGTGGTTTTATTTAGTTTGTAGTAGAATAAGGTGTGGAAGGAGAGTGGGAGAAGGATAAGTGAGTGTACTGAATAATAATAAGAGCCGAGGGGACAACAAATAGACGTATAAAGGGTATATGAAAGTGAAAATTTCCCCTGGTTGGGCAATAACCAGGGGAAAGATAAAAGGAGGGGGAGAGGCGAAGGAAGGAGGAGAGGAGAAGGGTGAAGGGAAAAGAGAGAGAAAAAGGAAATGTGTAAGAGGAATGAGCAGTAGAGTGGAAGACTTGGACGAGGAAGATGGAGGTGATGTGAGGAAGGTAGAGAGTAAGGCGTTGGAGAGAAGGACAGAAGGAGGAAAAGAGAAGGTGGTAATAGAGGAATTGAGGAGAAACTGGGCGCTGGAATATCTAGCGGAAGAAGAAGACGCAGTGATAAGTGCGTCAATAAAGGAACAGGAGGAGGAAAAGCATTGTGGGAAGAGAAAGGGAGAGATGAGAGAAGAAAGGATGGAGACAGAGGAATGTAGGAAGAGGAGTAGAGACAGGGAGGCAGAAGAGGAACAACAGGACGGACATAGGGGGAAGGAGAAGAAGAGGATTAGGGAAGAGAAGAGGAGTGAAGTTAGTAAAGTGTCGGGGCAGTTGGCCAATGAGAAGGAAGAACGTGGAGAGGTGACCGATGTGAATGGGGATAGGTTGGTAGGACTGAACGAGGAGAAGAAGATGGCGGCGAGTGAGTGAGGTGTGCGAGCGTCGATGCGAGTGTTTTTTTTATATTATTTTGCGGTTTTTTTGAGTTTGCGCGGATAAGTTGAGGTGTATAGGAGGTGGTAGAACCGGATAATTGTTTGTAAATATAAAGGAAGAGGAGAAGAGGACAAATAGACGAGTAATAGTTGGATGAAAACAAAGGTTTCCCCTGGTTGGCCAATAACCGGGGGAAAAGTAGAAGTGGAGGAGAAGGTGAAGGGGGGAGGAGTTGAGAGGAGAGTAAGGAACAGAGAGAGAAGAAGGAAATGTATGGAAAGAGAAAGAATGAGCAGCAGTGAACGAGAAAGCGAGGAGGAAAATAAAGGAGAGATAAACAAGGAGGAAAGTAGGGTGATGAATGAGGAAATAGAAACAGGAGGTGAAAAGGAGGAAATAGACGAACTGAAAAAGAGCTGGGCTCTGGAGTATTTAGCAGAGGAAGAAGACGCGGTAATATGTGCGTCGAGGAAGGAAAGGGAGGAGGAGAATAAGGAAAAGAAGACAGAGGAAAGGCTAGAAGTGAGAATGGAGACGGAGGAGTGTAGGAAGAGGAGTAGAGATGGGGATATGGAAGAGGAACAGCAAGAGGAGTTAAGGGGAAAGGAGAAGAAGAGGATCAAGGAGATCCAGAGAAGTGAAGTTGGCGTAAGCACGAGAACGGTAGCCAATGAGAATAACGGACAAGATGGGAACGAGAGGTTGATGGAGATTAGGTTGGCAACATTGGAGACGGGAGCGACGGTGGCGCCCGAGAAGGGGAAACGGTGGCGTGGTGAGGCGAATAGAGACGCTAAAGAGATCGGCCATTGTGAAAAAGTACGTGGTGAGTGTTGGACGGAAGAAGAGACAGAAGTGGTGTTGAAAGAGAAAGTTAAGGACAAAGAAAGGTACAAGGACGCAAAAGGTATCAATAGTTTAGATTACGATAAAGTTAGGGGAATAAGTGTATCAAGAAAAGACTGGGTAGCGAGTAAGAACAATGGGACGATCGAGGGAGAGGAAACAAAGGATAAAGAGAATGGCGTGGGTCCTAGCCACATGGCGGAAAAAACAGCAAAGGCAATCGAAGAAAAAGAACAGGGAAAGGGGAACGGAGGAAGTAGAGATTGGGAAATAAGTTTATACGATGAGAGTGTGACATTGATAACAAACCAAATCCTTATCTAAAGTACTACGTCACACCGGACCCTACCATACCCAGGCCACCAGAGTATAAAAGGAGGCCCGGAGACAGCAGAGTCAGTCGTCATTTTAACCAGCCACGAAGAAGTTACTTATATTATACTTATATTGTACTTATTATACTTGTGAAATAAATAACTAACGTACTGTTAGCTACGGCTAGCAGAACAAAAGTAACTTTTATTATTTTCTCACGAATATTACGTGACAACCGCGCCGGACGGCTATCCACGACCACCACAGCCGACAATGTGACGCGAGTGAGGGAACTGTTGAACTCGGGCCGACAATCAAATGTTCGTTTAATGACCGATATGTTAAATATTCCGAAAACTCAAGTTTATGATATTGTCACGAACCATATCGGCATGCGGAAGGTGTGCGCTAAGATAGTACCGAAAGTGCTCACTAAGGACCAAAAGTCGCGCCGCGCTGAAACGTGCCAAGAAAACCTCGACATGCGCAAACGTGATCCCCAATTTTTCGATAACGGATAACGGAGGTCCGTTTGCGGACCGGAGGGTGCGTTCACACTACTGATTATAGTATCGACTGTTAATTGTAACGAATGATTGTGTGTTTTTTTGTAGATTATGAATCCTATTCGGAGTCTTGATCCACTGATTGAAAGTGGTTCACACTTACAAGCAGTGGATGTGCAGCCTACCTATTCGGTGCTGTTGGAAAATGTTGTTCATCTTCGTGATATGTCTTGTGGAGATGGAGAAGTATATTCCGATGGTCATTATCTTCTTGTCCGGTTCGAGGAAGAGGACGTCGATGGAGATTATCTATCGAGGAGTGACCTTGAGGAGCTATATTTAGAACGGTTCATGCGGTCGGCGGTCGGGTGCGATGACTGTCCGGATTTCGTGGAATTCGTGGTGGGTGGGGAGTGGGGGTACGACGCTCAGCGGGTCTCTAGAGTTACTAAGGCCCGCGTATGGGATTGTGTGGCGCAGTCTGGGTCGGACGGTAGAGACATTAAGTTGTGTTCGAAGCTTTCTGTAGTTTTGTCGTCGGCATTGCAACAACCTATAGAGTCAAAGAATTTGGCTTTGCATAAGAAATGTTGCTGTAAGAAAGGCGGTCACAAGTTTTTTATTACTCTTCGTTTGCCTTATGCCTACAGTAGTATTCGTGAGGACATTGCTTCGTATTTTATCGATTGCTTGCAAGTCTGTGTTGGGCGTGAAAAAGATCAAAGTTTACATACCGTAAGTTATCATTATCATGTATTTGTAAATTTTAAGTCGGTGTATTGTTGTCATGATATGTTGAGTATGTGTAAGATTTATTTTAATGAGTGTGCGTCTTTGGATATTCAACCGGTTCGATCTTCTCGTAATGTTTTAAAGTATATAAGTAAGATTGGTTGTATTATGTTGGTTTGCGTGTGTCTGATTTTTCGTTTTACTATCAGTGTGTTCATTGGGCTCGTCATACAGTAGAGTTTAAGCATTCCGATCCATTTGTTGCAAGTCATTGGCAGAAGTATCGATATTTGGAAAATTTCCATCGTGAGTATAGGATGTCGTATCGAAAGGTGTTTCGTAGTTTTAAACGATGTGAGAATATATATTCAGGTTGGGCTTTAGATTGTGCTCTATGGTGGAATTCGGCAATTGGACCTTGGTTTCATAAGCGTAAAGCTTTGTATTTGCATGGTCCCTCGAATGTAGGAAAATCTAGTTTGGTTGAACGGTTGATTGGTCGAGAGAATTTACATTTTGTTTTTTATCCTGGTGTTGGAAAGTTTGCATCTCAGGGATTGTCAGAGTATCATAAGGTAATAGTATTTGAAGAGTTTGATATTAGGTACCATGTAGAGTCTATGCTTAAGAGGTTATTGGAAGGTAAGAGGTATGCGTTTCCTGTTAAGTGCAAGGAAGATAAGATAATGTACAGGGTGTCCCATAGGAAGTTGCTGAAACTAAAGGATTATTTCTCCTCTTCCACAACTTCAGAAAGCGTCGTATGATTTGTTTTGTCTTTATAAGCGTCCGCAGTTTTATTCTGGCTGTGGTTGGGACAAGTTCGCGCACGTCAAAATGAGTCATTTAACGACGCAAGAGAAAGTATATCTTATTGAGTGCTTCTTTTCAAGAGGTAAAATATTGGGTTGGCAACTAAGTAATTGCGGATTTCACTCGTAGATGGCTTCAGTTGAATTTTTAGGTTGGCAGATGTAGTACAAATGTAAAACACATTTTGTTATTTGATAGTTGGCAATTCAGCTGTCAATAAGTAAAAAAAGTTTTTTGATCGGTTGCGTAGTTTTCGTTTGGCCTTCGTTGAAAAATGGAAAATCAAAAGGAACATTTTCGTCATATTTTGCTTTTTTATTTCCGCAAAGGGAAAAACGCATCGCAAGCTCATAAAAAGTTATGTGCTGTTTATGGTGACGAAGCCTTAAAAGAACGGCAGTGTCAAAATTGGTTTGCCAAATTTCGTTCTGGTGATTTTTCACTCAAAGATGAAAAACGCTCTGGTCGTCCAGTTGAAGTTGATGACGTCCTAATCAAAGCAATAATCGATTCGGATCGTCACAGTATAACACGTGAGATTGCAGAGAAGCTTCATGTATCACATACATGCATTGAAAATCACTTAAAACAACTTGGCTATGTTCAAAAACTCGATACATGGGTTCCTCACGAACTGAAAGAAACGCATTTAACGCAACACATTAGCAGCTGCGACTTGCTAAAGAAACGTAATGAAAATGATCCATTTTTAAAACGACTGATAACTGGCGACGAAAAATGGGTTGTTTACAACAATATCAAGCGGAAAAGATCGTGGAGTAAGCCAGGTGAACCAACTCAAACAACATCAAAAGCTCATATTCATCAAAAGAAGGTTTTGTTATCAGTTTGGTGGGATTACAAAAGAATTGTCTACTTTGAACTCTTACCACCCAACCGAACGATCAATTCTGATGTCTATATTGAACAACTAACGAAATTAAACAATGCACTTGAAGAAAAGCGGCCCGAATTGACAAATCGAAAAAGTGTTGTATTCCATCATGACAATGCAAGGCCACACACATCTTTGGTCACTTGGCAAAAATTATTGGAGCTTGGTTGGGATGTTTTGCCACATCCACCATATAGTCCTGACCTTGCACCATCTGATTACTTTTTGTTTCGATCTTTACAAAACTCCTTGAATGGTAGTGTGGCGGACCGCCGCCGAAAATTCTCGACGCGCGCGAACGCTCGCTATGCGGCACGAGCGAAAAAAAACATTCGTGAACGCTCGCTATACAGCGCGAGGTGGAAAAACCTTCGCAAGCCCACGCGCTAGAACGTTCGCGACCAAGAAATTTCGAGAAAAACAATTGACTATATAAATCGGCCGATTCACGTACAATCAAGCAGTCAATGTCCAGCTCGCACACCGAACACTCCAATAGTCCTCTTGTCAACGCGCGTTTACATATCTTGTGCAAAGACCAATTTTATTGTGCAATAGTTTGTAGTCTCTAGTACTTAGTTTAGTTTGTAAATAGTTAAGTGTTTATTTTAATAAAATAGTTTAAGTTAATTAATCCGTGTATTCGAACCACGCAACCACTTCAGTAGAAATTTCAATAATGATGATGATGTCAAGTCGTACCTGATTCAGTTTTTTGCTAACAAAAACCAGAAGTTTTATGAACGTGGGATTATGATGCTGCCTGAAAGATGGCAAAAGGTCATTGATCAAAATGGGCAATACATTACAGAATAAAGTTATTTAGTTCCATGAAAAAATTGTCTGATTTTCTAAAAAAAAATCCGCAATTACTTAGTTGCCAACCCAATATATAGCAATGCTTACAGAGGATTTCGTACTAAATACGGAACACATAAAGTTACAAACGAAAGTACACTGAAACGGTAAAAATTCATTACTTATTTAAATTTATGCGCTATGTTATTTCCATTTTTTGTCAATAAATCTGTAAAATAATGTTCTTTTTTTTTAATTTTTCATAGAATTATCAATAATTTTATACAGTATGGAACTATTCAAAATCATAGACACGATCTGCCAGGTCCTTCTGCGTCTATAACTGTAGAAGAAAATATTGAAGCAATTAAAAATTATTTCGAACAGAATCCAAATGCTTCCATTCGGAAAGCTGCCCAAGCTTTTAAAATATCAAAAACAACATTACACAGGATTTTAAAATATTTTCTGAAAATGCATCCGTATAAAATAACATCTCATCAATTGCTAACCAAGCGCGCTATGTTGAAACGTGTGGAATTTTGCAAGACGATAAATGGAATGTTTGAAAATGAAGAACTTGATGAAAAATTCATAATTTATACGGATGAAGCACATTTTTGGCTAAATGGTTACGTGAATAAGCAAAATTATCGATTTTGGGGGTCGGAAAATCTCAACGTTTCCCTGGCTAACCAACGTTTCCCTGGCTAAAGCCTCAATCAAAGGAATTTATCTGCAATTCTTTGACTCGATAGTCACTGGTGAAAGTTACAAGCAGATTCTTGAACAAAAATTCTTCCCTCATGCAAAAAAAAGAGGCCTAGTCAGAGATTTTTATTTCATGCAAGATGGAGCAACGCCACACCGAACTCAGGAGGTCTTCGAAACAATCCATAAAGTGTATGGCAGCCGAGTCATTGGTCTGGGATACCCTAAATTTTGCCAAGGAGGGCTAGAATGGCCACCATACTCACCGGATTTGAATCCGTGTGATTTCTTTCTTTGGGGATACATTAAAGACAATTGTTATGCCACAAATCCAACAACAGTGCCAGATTTAATAGCAGCTATTAAAAGGATCGTCAATAACATTAAAAATGATATGTTAGAGAAAGTTTTTACGAGTTTTCGTAAAAGAATAGAATTTTGCACAGATTCAGATGGTGCGCACTTTGAAAATATTTATCATTAGTTTGTGTGATTATTAGCACTTTTTTCTTTACTTTTTATCAATAAAATAAACTGATATACAAACATTTTATTAATATACAATAAAAACTGCAGACTTTTCTCTTTTCAATACAATTTTTGTTTTCTCAATAATTGCATGCATTAAAAAATGACAGCTGATTAGTTTCAGCATTTTCCTATGGGACACCCTGTATTTTCGTGGTCCTATTATTTTTGTTGCAAATGAGGAGCGTGTATGTGATGATACGTTAAGAAATCGTTTGTTGTTTGTTAGTACTGAGCATCCGTTTTGGGAGTATGTTGAGTGTGTGACGATAAGAATTTGACAATAAGAATTCTTATCAACCTACGTCACGCGTCCCCACCGGGGCTCCGAACCTCAAATATAAAAGACCGACGCCAAGCTATCCGAGTCAGTTGTCAATCCTACTAAAAACTTTTAACATCGAAATACTGTCCGATCGCATATTGTACTTAATAAATCTTGTATACTTATAAAATAAAGGTATCGTTCACTACGGTGGACGACCCAAAAGTTTTTTATTATTTCAAGTTAATTTTTACTTGACAAGTGCGTGGTTCCGAAGACGGAGGATGATGGCTCGTGTGGGTCCCAGGCGGAAGATGTTGAGGCGATCGTACTTTCGTCGGATGAAAAGGGCGAAAGTGATGAAGTCACGACGGTGGAATGTGGTTCGACCGGTTTGGGCGGTTCGTCGGCAGGTCTGGCGCCAAAACGCCCAAGGTTATCGTAAGACGCCGTTGGTGGGATGGGTTTCTGCTCAGCCGAAGATTCTTAAATATTGTTTTTGTAATGAGGGAACGTTTGGTTACACGTGGAAATTTGGGAATAAGAATTATGATAACGGAATGCGTGAAATCCAGCATTGGTTTTGGACTGTTCAAACTGAGGGATTGCGCACATTTATGTCTGCTCGTTATACTCGGTTCATTGTAAACAAGATTGTTGTTATATTGAACAATTTTGTATTGAAAGAGCATTATGATGAGGAGCGTGATTTGCCATCTAAAAAGGAGTTAGTAAAATTTTAACACGTTCTAGTATGGATCCTGGTCAGAAGTTTAGTATTAATTATTTTATTCAAAATTATCCGGATACCGATCCTAAATGTGCTCCTATGAATAATATATCAGGAACATCTGAAATTAAGTCAAAATTAATTTCGCCTAAAATGTATTAGGTGTACAAATGAATAATCCAAATTATTTTAAGCTGTTACAAAATTAAATTTGAAATCAATTGTTTTTCCCACTCTTTTACTGTTAAACATGTAAAGTGCGTAAAACTGTTAAGATTATGTAATTAGAAATTTAAGACTGTTTTGTAAAACAATGTATATTGTGCGATATCAACAAGTCTAGTATACTCCAATTTGCTTATAGAATTCAGTCATACATACATTTTTATATTCGCTAAAGAAATTGTTAATTATAACTCTCTTTCTCATCATTACATGAATATACCTAATTAATGAAAGGTTTTAACCTGTAGATTTCACTCTTTAACCACACGCCACGACGATCCCACATTCTTTTAGAATTAGTTATAGTAAAAACGAGTCGCTTGATAGGCAAAAGCCGCTCTTTGCTTCATAAGTGCTGTAAAATACCTGGTTCTAGTACCCGGGACGTTACAATTTTATACCGATATGAATTCAACCGATATTCGTGTAATTCTTTTATACGAGTATAAACTTGGTCATAATGCTACAGAAGCTCCACGCAATATAAACCAGGTATTTGGGTAGAATACCGCTAACAACCGTAAAGTACAGCGTTGGTTTGAAAAATTTCTTTCTGGAGATTTTTTCTTACAAAATAAACCGCGCGGTAGACCCAAATCGACTGTCAATAACGATACGCTAAAAACATTGGTGGAAGCGAATCCAACTGTATGCACACGGGAACATGCCATCAAAATGAAAGTTGAGCATACAACAATATTGCGACACCTAACTGAAATTGGTAAAATGAAAAAATGGACAAGTGGATACCGCACGAACTCACAGAGCAAAACGGGTGACGGATACGATCGAGGCGTTCAATTGGGAAATACTAGCGCATGCGGCTTATTCTCCAGACTTGACTCCGTCTGATTATCATCTATTCGCAGCATTGGGACATGCATTTGCCGAACAACACTTCGATTCGTATGAAAATGTACGAAAATGGCTCGACAACTGGTTCGCTTCAAAGGAAGATTTGTTTTTTTGGCGCGGCATTCATAACCTGCCGAAGAGGTAGGAAAAATGTATAAACTCCAATGGAGACTATTTTGAGTAAAATATTTTTTATAATTTTCAAATAACAGACGTGCAATTTTTACAAAAAAATTCCGGTTTCATACTTCTACACCTGGTACATAAATATAAAGAATTTGTATTGTCTGCGAATCTGTTTGTGAAAGTTTATTATACGTTTAGTGGATCAACTGGTGATAACATGTTTGTGTAAATGCCATCTAAAAGAATGTCAAGTTGGTTATGGTTAGAAGAAACAACAGCGACATTACTGGCAACTAGCCAGTTTCGAGCGTGTTACGCACAAACCTATTCACATTCAGAAAAATTCGGTAGAGTTCAATATGTTATACACTCTTTATTCATCTCTATACATCCATTCATCGCTTTCACTCATATATTCTATGTACGCTCTACCGAGTATCACACACTTATTATTCGTTACTATATTTCTAAACTACAGTTACTAGAGGAAACCGCCCCTCTTCTAGGAGCGCCGGAAGCGTGACTCTTTCCACACTACCTGGGCTATCTTCCCAGGTGTCCGTAATAAGATTTCTGTCTTTCTAAACCAAAAAAAAAGAAGAAAAAAAGACGAGTGAAAGCGAGGAAGCTGAAGTTCCTCGAAGACGAGTTTCTCGAGCAAGTGTTCGGGCCGGAAATAGTGACATTGGACAGTGAAACGGATACGGAAACATCGTCACGCGAAGTGCCGTTATTGAACTACGATATTTTAGACACGCAAAGTGCCATAAAAGTGTACCAGCACCGTGAAATTCCGGACAAAGTGCTAGTTGACTATTTCCGCGCATTCCGCGAAGACTCACTATTCCCTATAGTGAGCGAATTCTGTCAGCAACATGCCGTCTCAACTGGGTGGGACCCAGAGAATGGCGATGGAACTCCGGTCCAGACAGACGAAGCAAATGAGTGTGGATGAAGTCGCGATCATCCAGGAACAGCAAATCGAGAAGGAGAAGCGTCTTCGCGGGGAGGCCAGACAGCTCGACGACGAAAAACGTGAGTTGGAACAAGCTCGTCGACAGAACAAAGCGTTATTAGCAAAAATCCGGAACGCCGAGAACGATCAGGGTGCAATCCCGAAGAAAATAGACGTTCCCGAGGAATTTTCTGCGAGAATGGAAGTACCGAGCATCACCGTCGGAGGCGAATCCGTCAGTTATACATTAAACGAAGCCGTGAAGATGGTGCCTACGTTCAACGGTACTACACCGACATTGTTAACATTCACACGGGCATGCAAAAGAGCTCGACAACTTATTCCTGCGCACGCTGGTGAAACTCATCGTTGGACGTTTGAGTGGACACGCAACCGCCGCCGTCGAAGATGAAAAAGCAGACACCGTCGCTGAACTGTGCAACCTGCTGAAAGACATCTTCGGACCACAACGAACCATCGATCATTACCGCGGCGAACTGGCGAATACGTACATGAAGAGCGGTGAGCACATTTTAGATTTTATAATTCGTGTAAAGGATCTACGCGATCTACGCGATCTAACCAACTACAGCGAGGAAATAGGATTATTTCAACGTCTCTTCAACGGCAATTCATCACGGACCCACGTCCACGACGTACGCTTCAAGAGCTACGCTAACCCGAAAGCTGAGAGATAAAGAGAGAATATACAGTCAGCGAGGCGAACGAAATAATATTTTATTTCGTTGGACACCCTTGGCCGTAGCAGACACAGAGGCTCCGCCGCGCACAGTCGCGACACTCGATCACTTCGTCAGTGTAAGGCGATAAGTCGCCACAGCTTACAAATTCCTAATTTCTAATTCTTTCCAATTCCTGACAATTAATAACTACTAAGTCCTAAACCATTTATATTTACCAATTTCTAATAACTAATTCTTACCAATTCTTAAACTTGCGTTGATCATTAAGATCTCATTTTCACTTCGTACCTTTATACGAGGGTCATTCAATAAGTAAAGAGACAAATTCTATAATTTTAAAACTATTCAATGAATGTGTACAATCTTTTCAGGGGTGTTAGTTGGCAACCTTGGGATATACTCTGATCAGCTGTTTCATCATTTTATGTCAACATAACCTCAAAATTTTCAATTCACTATGGCAAGTCCACTAGAAGATTGCACCTTAGAAGAGCAGCGCTCAGTCATTAGATTTTTAGTCACAGAAGGTGTAAAACCAAGTGAAATTTTTTCTAGAATGTTGATACAGTACGGTAAAAGTTGTATGAACCGTGCGAATTTGTACAAGTGGGTTGATCGGTTTAAAAGTGGCCGAACAAGTGTAGGTGATGAACCCCGATGTGGACGTCCAGTGGAAGTTTCTGGTCCCTCGTTGGAATCGAGGATTGACGGACTTATTCGTGATAACAAAAGAATTACTGCTGAAATGATAGCTGAGGAAGTTCAAGTAAGTGTTGGAACTGTTCACAATGTCATTCAGAACAATTTAAAGTACAGAAAAACGTGTGCCAGATGGGTTCCCAGACAGCTTACTGACGCTCATAAAGAATCAAGGCTTTCCATTAGTCAAGACTTAAAGCAACGAAGTTTGATTGAAGGAGACGCTTTTTTTGAAAGAATAGTGACCAGCGACGAGGTCTGGATCCATCACTACGACCCTGAGACCAAAAGGCAGAGTATGGAGTGGAAACACACTACCTCTCCAGTTCGCAAAAAATTCAAGGTTCAACCTTCCGCCGGTAAAGTGATGCTGACCATCTTTTGGGACTCACAGGGTCCAGTCTATTGCGATTTCCTTGAAGATCAGCGAACTATCAATAGCCAATACTACTCTGAGATGCTAGAACACAAAGTTAGACCAGCTATCAGGAGCAAACGCCGTGGACTCTTGTCAAAAGGAGTCATTCTTCAGCACGATAACGCCCGCCCTCATACAGCCCAGCTGACCCGTGATAAGCTTCAAGAATTGGGTTGGGAGGTCTTACCTCATCCTGCCTACAGTCCCAACCTCGCCCCATCTGATTTTTACCTGTTTGGACCACTCAAAGACGCCCTACGTGGAAAAAGATTTGCTAACAATGAAGTTAAGGAAGCGGTGCAAAAGTGGCTTCAGGGTAAATCGAAAGAATTCTTCGCCAAGGGAATTAGGAAGCTGCAAGAAAGATACTAATAATGAGGAAGTTAAGGAAGCGGTGCAAACGTGGCTTCGGGGTCAATCGAAAGAATTCTTCGCCAAGGGAATTAGGAAGCTGCAAGAAAGATGGGACAAGTGCATAACTGTGCGGGGTGATTATGTTGAAAAATAGCCTTAATTTTGAAAGATTGAAATAAACCGTTTTTGAGCTATAGCCATTTGTCTCTTTACTTATTGAATGACCCTCGTAGTTAGCTACCGTTCTGCGATTTGCGATATCAACAAGTCTAGTATACTCCAATTTGCTTATA